ATTGAGAACCATATTAATCTACAAGAGATAGATACCCCTCATGGTATATGTATTTACACAGATGGTTCCAAGTCCGAAAACGGCGTCGGTTCTTCCATAACTGTGGATTTTAATGGAACGCACCTATATCAAGCCCAATACAAACTGAAGACACATTGCACGGTAAATCAATCAGAATCTTGGGCAATACTAAAAGCACTTAAGTGGATTCAGCAAAACGCGTGGAAATACAAAACAAATGCAATAACCATCTTTACTGATAGCAAAACAGCTCTGCAGCAACTAATAAAACTCAACGGAAACTACCCGACGATCTACAAAAGCATAGACCTTGTCAATCAGCTACAACAAAAGTACAACATAACTTTAGCATGGGTGAAAGGGCACTCAGGCAACAAAGGTAACGAGAGAGCTGATTTGTTAGCACGCACCGCCCCGGTAAGATGTCCGAACTACTCTTTCAGCTCAGTTCCACTAGTTTGGCTGACTAATCAAATGAGAGCGCACACCCTTAAGAGTTGGCAGACCAGGTGGGAAACTTGCCCGAATGGCAGGCTCACTTTTAAGTTTTTGCCTAATGTGCAGCACCGCCAAAACCTATCACACTTAAACGTTTCCTTTAATATGACCCAGCTGTACACGGGTCATGGCAATTTTCGTAGTTACCTTAAAAGGTTCTTAAATAAAACTGACGGACTTTGCCCTTGCTCTAAAAATGCAACAGAAGACCCAGAGCATATCATATACTTTTGTTCCAACTACTCAAGACAGCGAAACGATCTTATTTCAGTCATCCTGTCGGAAAATGAACTTTGGCCATGTGAACTAAAAATCCTTACAGAAAACAAGAAGATACACAAAGCATTAAAAAAATTCGTACAGGATATAAAAATCCTAGATTAGAATCATTTTAATTTTACTAATGTCGGGTGTCAATTATAATGTACTATTATATTTTATGCATATCTCTTTTATATATTGTTATTACAAATAATATTATCATAAGCTTCTTACATGCAGTATTGAATAACTATTTCAAATGTCGGGTAAAATTAAATTGTTAAACTCTGTTAACACTGCTACCTGTTAATAATATAATAATTCTATTTTGTTTCCTATTTCAAAATTAATTAGCAATATAACAAAAATACATATACTTGTCAAAAATATTTAGTTGTAAACTGCAATGCACTGTAACTGTAAATATTAATATTAA